GAGCGACACCAAGGTGGTGGATCAAACGCAGGATGGGGGGAACGTGGGAAGACCTTCGACAATGCGACGACGCCACGAATGACTACTTCAACGAGAAGCAGCACAGCGCCGAGGAACAGCAGAGGGACCACCAGAAGCAGCACAACGACGTGGAGCAGCAGAGGGAGCATGCAGCACTGGTCGGCCATGACCTGCACGGTGGAGAGGGCAGCAATGCCATGTGCAATGACTTGCTGGTTTTGGTTGCATGTAGCCTCTCTCATCAAGGCTGTACTATAGGTAGGATAAATTCGTAATTTTGTTTGGCCGAGGGCTAACCGAGAGACCTGCCTGTAGGGAAAATCCGAGAGGGACATATCTGCAAATTCGGGAAAATATAGGCCCGTACTAACTAACAGTACCTACAGCTACCTTAACTGTGAATAGCAGGCCCGGACTACCCCTAGGACAGGCAGGCCCTAAGGGCGTATGCTGATAGACAGTCCTATAGCCTATAGCTGGGTAGGTAGAGGCCGAGAGGCCGAAACTGAAATGGTACTGGTCGGTCCAGTCAGTCCGGTCTAGGTCGTGTCTAGGCTAGTGTAGGTTATAGATAGGAGGGGCACATCGGTTCAGGGCTTTTGGCAGTTGGTACTGTGTACATCGCTGCTGAGCAACGCGTGAACTGGAGTGGTGACAGTTTCAGCGTTGGAGGAGACAGACATAGCCGGACCTGCGGAGCGCCGGCCATAGCTGGGACCTGCGCTGTACTCTGACAGCACGAGGGGCTGTTTAGAGGTTCGGGCTTTCTGAAGTCTGCTGGAGGCGAGAGAAATCGGTGCCCTGTTGGACCCTCCTCTGGAGTAGGGTTACAGGGTGTGTGGCGCTTTAGCTATAGCTGCAGCTACTTCCTCAGAGATCATCTTGTCAGGAGAGGTGGCGCTGCCGCAGACTTCCGCTCGGGAAGTCATTTGGCACTTCATCATCATTAAATACTGTGGCGCTGGTCTTCTTCTTCATCCTCTGAGAGGCGCTTGGCCTCAGAGGCCTGGTTCAGGGTGGCGCTGCCTTTTGGAGGTTGTATCTGGGTGGCGCTTGATGTTTCAGGGACTCAGGGATAGAGATAGTGGTTACTTAGGGTTGGGGAGTAAAGTGCTGCTCAATTCTGAGCAGCGCACCATAGTTCTGGGGTTTTCCTGGCAACTTGAGACTCTGAGTTTAATAAACAGTGTGTAAATTGTGTGCAGACTATCTTTGCTTCATTGTTTCTTGGATGTGATCTACTCGACTTCCCTGTGTGACTGGTTGTGAGGATTTTGTGGAGCGAAGTCCACTTTCAGTGGTCTCTGTCATGGTTAAGTCTTCCACTATGTTCATCTCACACAAGTCTATGTCAGTGAGTGTTGGTCATCTGACAACAAGCAACTAGGTTCATAACAGTTGGCATCGGAGCTATTGGATCCAGACAGTGAAGTGATTGATGAGTTGGAGCAACTACCACTATCTGGCGAGACACTGGAGTTGAGTTTCATGGCGATTTGTCAGCTTCAGGGTTGTGGGTGGTGGTGGTGAGTGTGTGGCGAGAAGAATTGGACAGTGGGTGGCATACTCCTGCTTAGGGTTGTGCAGGAGTGAGTGGCGATTGATGCTCAGAGGCCTGGGAGGCTCCGAGAAGGCTATTTTTAGCCTGGCGACTCACCTGGATACTGGCGATGAGCAAGGAAGTGATCCCAGGAGGTTGCAATTTTGGAATTGGGTCAGGATCCTCAATTTCCAAGCAGCGAAGTACAGGGTAAAGTAGTGTTGCACTGAGTATCTCAGTTATCAGCATTTGGGAGTCAGAATTCAGTGATTCTGTCAGTTGAGGGTGAAGCGCCTCAGGGTAATCTACTAGATCACCAAGTTTTAGGAGATTTTGTACATGGGAACACTGGGAATCATCAGGAGATGAAACTGGCGAAACGGGGTTGAGCAGACAACCATAGTCAGGGTTGTACTCATCTGCTTCAGAGATATCCCTGAAGTAAGTGTGTTTCTTACTCTATTTTGTGTGGCGATTCTGGGGCTATTTTTAGTTTAGCAAAATTTGCTTTGTAAGTCAGTTGATAATTAAAAATCGAAATACAGCCTGTGGGACAACCATACCCAATTTCTCTTACCTATCTTCTTTGACTTCTACTAACCCTGTTTGACCTCTTCTCAGACTCAACTTTTATTTGTGACTGCTTTACAGTGTTGCGATTTATACTGTGTAGTGAATTGGTGTATTCAGGGCCTTGTTGTCAGTGATAATGCAAATTTGAATTTTGCGCTGCCATAGCTGAAGCTTGGCTAGACTAGGGGTAGTCATAACTTTAATTTTGTCCGTCAGAATTCAATTATGTCAGTCCCTGGTAAATCGCAATTCAGTGCACAGTCTGTGTCTGAAATCGTACAATCAGATTGATGTTCTAAGTCAGTTACAGTGATTACTGTAACTCCCCATACCCAGGGTATGGCATACAAGGTCATACAGTTGTAGCGGACCCACCAGGTGTGGTGCTCCGCTAGTGACAGAGATGGAGATGGAGGAAGAAGGAGGGAGCAAGGTGCACAGCGCAGCTCCCCACGCAAGACTCCAACGCACGTACTCCAAAATGTGCAAGTGAAGAATGAGACTGGAAACAGACAATGGCTGGGGTATACCCCAGCGGACTGACGGGACTGGACTGGACGGGCTGGTACCGACAGAGGTACCGGCCTGGACTGGCCTACCGCGAATACAACACAGGCCTGTGAGAACAGGCCAAGGGGCTGGTCTCACAGGCCAACCCGAGGTCCGCTACACGATCCTCGGCATGTGATGGATCGCCTAGATACAAACATGCTTCCGCCAAGAAGCGGAACTCTACCAAAGAAAAGAAAACCTGAGTAGTCTAGGATGCGGAGCAAGCTCCATGTTGAGTCCATGCGATGCAACCTAGGATATAAAATGTCACAAAACAGCAATGTCACAGCTAACATCCTAAGTGAAAGCAGAAGCAACTAACAAACATACATGTCCTAGGAAAGCAAAAGCAACTAACTAGCATACATGTCCTAGGAAAGCAGAAAGTAGTGACAACTAGATCCTAGAATGTTGGAGGCACTAGCCTTAGTCTGGTAACAACTGACTAGTGCATAAGTCCTAAGAACAGCAAAAGCAGAACAGCTAAATCCTAGAAATGTCGGAGGCAGTAGCCTCAGTCTGAGAGCAACAAAGCAATCAACAAGACAACCATATGTCACATGAGAAGTGTGTCGCAAACCAAAGGGTGGGGTGGTCTCTGAGGGTGGCGAATGCAGCCTAGGGGTCGAAAACTCCTAAGGGCATCCACACATAGTGACAGGGGAAAACACATGTCATCAGGCTCAATGAGGGTAGGGAACTGGGAGCGAACAGAACCAATGACCCTAACAG